ATACTGATTCGTTTTAAAATAGTTTTAATACCAACATTGAGATATTTTAATAAAATATTATGTTGATATGCATTAACATAAAACATTCGCGTATTTTCATAATTTTACATTTGTATGCCTTTAAAGTTTTCGAAATTGGGAATCAAATATGTTATATGATGTTTTTCATGACAAGGAGGTACGGCATATTTTGTCTTCTTTCATCGAGCGTTTTGTTTGATGTGTTTTGATCATTTCATATCGTATATTTCGAAAGTTGCCGTGATATCCTTTTATTCTATGTCATATTCAGACTGCCCAAGAATATTGTCTCACGCGGGTTTCTACAAGACAAATGTGTGCTCTGGTATTCTTCACACATTTCAGTGAGATAAGATAAATGCATCAGTATTATATGATGGATATACGCGTACTATACATCGAGCACAAAAATATTTGTGCCAAGCGTTTTGTACGATTAAAAATACGAAATATTCTTGAAAAAAATTTCATAAATTAATTCCAGGAATGTTTTAACAATACCATAATTGACAATTAAATGTAAAATAGATTTAATATTCAATTATTGAACAATAAACCGGTATTTTCAGTCACATTACTGTAAGAAAAATCGCACAATGTCGCTATGAAATCATAATTATTCCCTTCCTATCTTCCTTTCGCCTTTCCATTTAAAATTTCACGTACGCCGATTTCGAACTGGTGTATCACGCGGAGTTTCATTGTCTCTTCCGAGACAATGCGATGCATGCAGGCCAGGGCACGCGATGAAGGAGCTTTGGAAAACACTCATCGAGATCTGTAACTGTTGTAACGCGGCGCACATACCTGCGATAACGTGCATCGTTTTCGATAGTAAATGAACACTGATAACGCGCGTGAGTGCTACGTGCGCGCGGAGGAGAAGGACATCTATCAATGGTCGTTATTCCATTATTCAACGATCACTTGACCCGCTCGAAGCGTTAAAGAGCGATCGAGTGTTTCCAATTACTCGCAAAGCTACGCGACATACCGCGTAAATTTTTTCACTTAAGCGACTGATCGCGATTCAATGACACGTATCCGCCAACTTTTCAATCGGTTATTCAAACCATTTTTCCTTTTTCGTTAGAATTTCATAGAATGTTACCTATTATACGCGATATTATCGCGAAAGTTGCGGGTGTTTTCGCGAACGTTTCGCAGAATGAGGAAGAAAATGTCGCAGTTCTGATAACAGACGTAAATACAAAGAGCCCCCCTAATCGATATCTCCGTTCCATCTGTCGAATTTACCCTTTCGCGGGTTGAACGCACCATAATTCCACTTCGTGATCCACGCACGAGGCTTTTATCCCCCCCCCCCCCCAACGCTTCGCCCGCCCTGCTCTCAAGCGCCAAACAATACTGTAGCATATTGCCGCGTATTATGCGAATTATTACGCAGACAACGGTATTAAACGCATCGGCCTTGAACAAATATAATAAATATACCGGGTGGTCGTCGGCGGCGCACGTCGGCTTGAGCGCATACAGCCCGGTGCATGATCGCGAGCACTGGTAATGCGCCCGACCTTATGGCACCGATGTTTCCGCTTACGCTACATTTGCGGCGATCCCGTCGGCATGAATGCGTTCGCTTGACGTACATATCTGGGTCGGAAGATATCAATCTGGAATCATGTAATATCCGCGCTCGCGCCGCATTCCGACTAATACGCGGACCGGGCGCGGATGGGATGTTTATTTTCAGATCAATCGCGAGGGGCGGCAAAAAAAAAACAACAATGAAAACATTTCCGCGCGTGACGACGTAATGGTTTATTAAAGTGCAAAGTTCGCTTTAATGCGAAATACGTGGTGCGGCATGCCAGGAGCGGCTAAAAATATAGTCGTTACGTGCGAGTCGTAGCGAAAGGTCAGTGGTTTTCGTACCCTCCTCCGTCTACGCTCTAACGTGTAGTTAAGTACAGCTACTTTGCAGCTTCGCGCGAGAATTCGATATTCCCCCGTAATGATTTAAAAGCCGTTTCTATCTTCAACCCGCGACGGAGGATTTGCAACAGAATTTTCCATAAATTTCAACTTCTAAAAAATATATAAAATATTCGCGCCGACGTCACACATTTTACGTCGCTACAGCGATCGAAGATTAATTTCGTGGCTCGGCTTGAATGTCGCCTTCCCACTGAAAGCCTTTCAAGAGTTCTTGCCGGAAAATATGCAAACGCGACCGCAAGTCCCCTGTATACATTTCCTCGGCTTTGTAAGACGATGCATCGCATTTGTTACCTTCCGCGCGCCACGTCGTCCCGCGGGGTAGCGAAAGGGTTGCAGACCGCACAATAGCATTTTGCTCACCCGCCCACGATCGCCGGCAACCATGCGTCGCCGGCATACATCGACCCGACCCCGAAAAATTTGCTTGCAACGCTCGCGGCGCTTTTATTCGCTTTATTTCACGGAGCTTTATCTCCTTCGGGATATATCCCTTTACGGTGCCACACATCGCCGAGAAGCGGGCTATCGATTTGCTGGCAGCGGTGTAAGCTTCAAAGCCAATTCGTCAGGCGGGTCTCAAGACGACGCGGGGCGACGGTGGCGTCGGTAGCGTCGGTGGCGTCGGCACGAATCCGTGACGTTAACCCAGATCGTCGTCCTTGGAGGTGGTCCAGCCGGCCGGGTCGCCGGTTGCCAGGATACCCGGAGCTGGACTCTTGCGAGAGATCGTCGCGGAAAATACGGTTTTTGCATCACTCGTACTCGGCCCGAAACGGGATTCCAGCCAGCTAGCCAGCCAGCCCGTGTTTCTCATAAAAGAGATCGCCGAGGGTTTTCACGCTTCGTAAAAGGATAAAACGTTACTGTCACTCGAATTACGACTGACAAGGGAGACGAGAGTTTTAACGAGAAACAAATCTGCGATCACTTTTAAATGTGATTAATTTAATCCTCTTAGCCTGTATTTATCGAATAATTATGGCCATAATCTTATTTTCATTTATAATTGAAAAAAAGAACACACAGTATTAAGATAATGTAAAAAAATATCAATAAGTCTTGTACTTAACGATGAAAATGCGCGATCCAAACAGATACATTTATTATCATATAAAATCTTTCGTTTTTTCAGTTTTCGTTATCTTAGAGTAGAATTTTTTTTTTAACATTCTTTATGCAACTGTAAACTGAGAGTATTTTATTTAGCAAATAAAATTTAACTCAGTTAATACTTCGGTATGCATACAATGTATCATTGGCGAAAGCAACCTGCCCGTCGGGATGCAATGGAAACTTCGTTAAAATACTTCAGCGTAAATTTTGCGCTTTTTGTTATTTCCACTCTCATCATGCTCAAAGTATAAGCTACAATTGTTAAACTTTGTAGTGGCAAATTTCATTGCACTTCGTGCGCGATATTGTGTGGCAAAGTGCACTTCAGAAATTTCCGTCGGGAATTGAGATTTTCTCTGTTGTTCCGCATTTTGTCCTTTCCTATTGGATCCGGAAACACTACCACAAAACTAAAAGGAAAATGTTTATAAAGCAAATATGAAATATTAACTGCGAAATTATATTTCTCATAGGAACAACGACATATTCTGAATCTAATTGTAAGTTCAAAATACAAAAAATTCATTATTCTTTTATTATCATATAAAATCTTTAATTTTTTTATTAATAAATTTAGTAACAAGAATTTTTTAATATTGAAAAAATATATATACAGAACAAATATAAAATTAAATTCCATAGATGCGCAATAAAAATTATTTTCAAAATACGTTAAATATATCAATAGATATATACTTTGAAGATAAATAAAGAAAACTATTTACCTTCGTTAAAAAGAACATGGATAATTGCTCTCATCATTTTTTAACTACAATATTTCCTTTGTCACATGTAAATTTGGATCGTGCATTTTCAGCATTAAATTTTATTGCGCAAGTGCCACTTACACGTTTATTAGTATGCGTACTCGTACGGAACGTTCGTAAGTAAAAGGCCGATGAAAGACGCGCTTTGTACTTAAGGGAAGGTATATATCGAGTAAATGAGATATAAATTTTCTCTCCCGTTTTCGTCGATCATTTATTCGACGGTTCTCGATCGGTCGCGGATGGAGGAACACGGTGAGAGAGCCAGGGGCGATGTACACTTAAATAAAGGGTCGCTGCGTCGTTCGTGAACGTCCTAAATAGATGGGCAATGGGTTCTTGAATTATGAGCATCCGTATCGAGTTGGTCTAATGCAATTATTCCTTTTAGAGTATATTGGCTCCATTTGTGTATTAAAATTGAGCGCAGCCGCGTGCGCCGTTGCACTTTTATCAAGTTCGATTAAATGGACTTTAATTTAAGTAAAAGGAACGAACGAAAGAATCTACGTTGCAGTTTTTTCTATCATTAGCCTTCGTAATAATGAACAATATGCATTGTTCATTATTATAAAGAATTTGATATCGCTTTCAAAAAACATTTCTTCCTTATAAAAATTAATAAATATATTTCATGTGAATATATTAATAATTAATTTATTCACATAAATTATAAAATTAATTTGTAGAGTAATTATGAATTATTTGATATTTGAACATTCTAAGCAGACAAAATTTTGTAAACTCAAGTACACGGCTGTCAAATGTAAACAGAAATAGAAAATTTGATATCGCAATTAAATTCGCTCAGAAATTATTTAATGCTAAGATTATCCGTTAAAGAAAAGCTTTAATAGTCGTAAAAAGGAAAAATTTTAAGTATCAAAGCAGTAAATTGGATATGTAGAACGTGAAGGATTGCATGTTGGTTTTGCAACGTAACTAACGAAGAACGAAAAAGTCCGTGTTTGCGACGCCCGCGGCGTCTCATGTTACAAACGAGAAAACATGTTCGCGAATAACGTAGACGAAGAGATCCAATTATGACAGCAAATTTAGAAGATAACCCAATGCAAAATATAACTCCTTATCTTTACTATATTTTTACGATGTCTGGGCAATATTTTATTCACCTACCTCATCGAACCTCGATCCGCAAAAACGTGACAATTTCGAGGCAGATTTCGTTGTCTCTGCATGCGCAAACTGTATATCCGTCATTAAATAATCTGAAAAAATAATATTTCAAGAGAATTGAATATTTCAGTGCGCTTGAAATACACTTGAAGAAAATTCGGAATAACATTGCGATCACCTATAATGTTTTAATAATAAATTTATACAAAATTATTTTAAAAAAACGTATAAGGAGAATTTTCCATGCATATAAAATAAAAAACGCGAAACAAAAAAGTTATTTCTATCTAGTAATTTATATCAAGATATTATTTAATGAAATAGTTAGTTTATTATGTTTTATCACATGTATAAATCAAGATTTTATTAATTTCTATTAAATGCTCACAAATATTGACATTTGCAATGTTTTCTCGAGTATTAAATTTTTAGTATTTTAACATGTAACATGTGTAAATACGTGTTATGTAAATAAAAGGTACAAAAATATTCGTGCAAAAGTCTCTGACAGCTATAAAATCGAAACCATGCCCCGGGATGATCAGAAATTGTGTGTGAGCGGCTTTCATGGTATATTGAAAGCCGCGCATTTTACGGTATCGGGGAAAACTCAAATACGCGGCGAGCCTTCGTCGGGGATTTACGCGAGTTTTTCATGTGGTATGGCTATCGATAAGCGCAGCAAGGATACGCTCGAGATGCTTTTGTACGGCTTGTCCGGCCGCAGAGAGTAAAGATAGCGGCTTTAGTAGTATCCAAGGGAGAGACGCGCTACAAATCGCGGTACAAATTCGAGGTCTCCAGTAATTCCGCGATACGAGCGGCAACGAGGGTAACGAGCTTCCCGCCAGATTATCTGGCCGACAGCGAGGGCGGGGAGGATCGTGTTGGCAACGTGTATCCTTCTCCGCCGCCAGCGCCGGAGAGCGCGTCGCGGAAAATATCGATCCTTTCTCTCTCCGTGCAGTCGTCTCTCTGCGCGGCGTTTAACAAGCGCATTACGTTAGCCCCTTTTAAAAGATCGCACTTCTGACTTCAATGGGCCGTGTAATCGGATTAGGATCGACACAATGCGCCTGTGCCACGAATGTGTAACGTTCCGCGTCGATTCCATCTGCCGGACTTCGGTGCATATGTCCGGCCTATCAGCCGCGGCATCACTGTGGCCCGAACATCTTCGATAGTTAAGAATCGAAATGGGAGAAACCGATAAGAACGACACGGGAAATTCAATAAAGTAATCAGAATTAAATAATAACTACGACAATGACAATCGGAAAGCACATCAAGCAGAATTTTGATTTAAATAAAACGAAAAAAGTTCAGATGTCAAATACATTAAAAATATTAATAAAATTATACATGACTGTAATGTAAATAGACTATAATTTTTCTTATCTTTACGTTTGATAAAGGAATGTTATAACTATAAATTATCGTATTATATGATGATAATATAGTACATATTGATAATACAATATTGTAATTAGTCAATTCTAAATACGTGTTCATCGGAACATTGATTTACGATTCTCGCGAGCCGCAGAATGCAAATAACAGAGAAGGATAGAGTATTCGCATTATGAAATTGTTTGCTCTTAACCGAGGATTTATTGCCACTTATCGTCGATTCTCTCTCTCTTTCTCTCTCTCTGTTTCTCTCGAGTATTCGCGATAAGCGAGCTAAAATTACAGACTCCAAAATGAAGATGCATTATGCACTACAGTGATAATTAACATCATGTTTTAAATACGTAATCCTCATCGGAATGAATAGATGCCAAATCAGCGGGTGCTTTTTCCTCAATTGTACACAAAATTAATTCGTTATTCGTTGAATATTCCGCGGCGTCACGAAAGTGCGAGCAATTCGTCAACGTCAATTCGAATGGCGGTTATACGTGTCCGAATGAACCGTTAATTATCAGTTGCACTCTGCACGCTTCTCAGAACCATACATCAGCATCGGGCCCTTGACGTGCCTCGAACGAAAGCATATTACTTCCTAACGATAATATTTACTAAATTCAGATCGCAGACTCCAGTCCGGTATCGTGAGCGTATTAAATTTGTGATAAACAGCCAGTTGCATTGAATAACATATACATGCAATGTATTTCGGTTTTTTTGTTATCAGCATCGAAAGTATCCGGTAGCATTATTCGAACCGCACCAAACTATTATTTTGTTACGCGTAATTGCAAATATATTCGATAAAATACGAAGAATCGAACGCTATTGTATTTCATTTGTACAAGTTGATTAAAGTGCAAAATTTGTTTATCAATTTAGTGTCGACCATTTCTTAAAAAAACTGTTGTTAAAAGTTGTTAAAGTTTAATGATTTAATTACCAAAACACCTAGGATCAAATATTAAAAGAGATAGAATCTAACAAATTATAACAAATATTATTCCCAAAATATTGACTTCAAGTGCTTCAAATTTTAAAACATCCGTTGCACACGTGTTTCCCTCGTTTTATAGTCAAACATAAGTTTCAATATGCAAATAGTTACTTTGGAATATTCAAAAAGAAAAAAATTGTCTAACGTAAAAACCTGCTATGTATCTCACTTGTTTCGCTTTCTATTCCCGATGTCAGTCCACAAAGTGCCGCACAAAATTCGATATAGAGTGTTTATGCGCGCCTTCTGGAGAAAACGTGGGCGGTTATATAAAGCGAAACAAACGGACGAACCCATTTTTAGGAAGCTGCAACAGCAGCAGCAGCGCGGACTAAATTATTCGCGTCGTTTTCTGCTAACCGCCGTACCGCCGGCTTATTCCGTCGGAATTTTCCGAACATTTTCTTTTCATCTGTAAAATTACCATAATTCGACCGACAGCGTAATTTTTCGTTTATGCGTTATGTAAAACTTCGCGTAAGGCGACAGTTTTAATTCACGAGTATTTCGGGAACGGAGCGGCGATGTCGCGGTCGTGCCGCGACTGCGAGAGACCAACGGGTTAAATAATAAGTGAACACCTTTTCGTGTTGTGGAAGAAATTTTGCAGCAGTCAGACGAATTCGCGAGTCCGTTTTCTCGGTTCTCACGGCAACCCCGGCTACGTAACCCGACTTGAGATCGGCGCGCGCGGTTAGTCAATCAGTAAGTTACGAGCGAACGTCCGGGGTTTACGGGCCCTCATACGTCTCCTTCGTGTTATCGACGCACGCGAAGCGGCCGAGGAATAAATCCGCCCTTCTCTCTCTCTCTCTCTCCCTCCGTCTCTCTCTTTCTGCCTAACTCCCTCCCATGGCACCGTTCAGACCAAACTTCTGCCTTCCGGCCGTCGCGAAGTGTTTATACTCTCGACAGAAACGAGAGAGAGAAAAAAGGGGGAGAAAAAGATAAGAAACGAGATAGCTAAGAAAGAAAAGGAAAGAGAGACAGGCGTGGACACAATGCCGTCCTTTTACAGGCAAGGAGCAGTCACCGTCGGCGTTTGAAAGTTTCCCCCTTGGAAAAATATCACCTTCCTGCTCGGGGGACCAAATAAATGTAACTGCGTTACCGCGAGGTGCCTGTCGCGCTTTGGCCTTTCCTCAGAAAGTCGGACTCGATTTCTTCTTGCCTCTCGTTTCCTCCTGGGAACTTGCGGGAGATTGCACTCAGCCTTTACTTATCTAACGGAATCGGAACAAACTGCTTTGGAATTCTAACTACGACAGGAGCTTCATGTGTATGCGTGCATTGGCATAAATAATCCTCAAAGAGTGTCCAATGGAATTAAGTAAAGGAGGTGCATGTATCGCTCGCAACTGATACATTCGCGAGCTCCGGTGCCGATAATAAATCGAACGATTTGTTCGAGATATTATTTGAGTGTACCATAAGCGAGGCTTTTGAAAAATTGCACTGCAAAGTTCGATCGTCGAAACGATTCGACGAACCAATGAAACGTTATCATAGCCTCTGATGCAATTTATTTTCTAGCTTATAGCGGCAGAAAATGACGTCGTTAGCAACGACGTATGTGTGCGTTTCTATGTTGCAGGAGGGAGTTGCAGAGGGAGAAATATTGGATATTTGATTACAAATTGATTACAAATTGCCCGTTCAATCAATAAGCGCGATTTCATCAACTAGCCAAGTATAGATATTTCTCAAAGCGAAGACGTTGACGTTTCGATAATAGAAAATATTTTTATCGACAAATAATATTGAATTATGTTAATGTGAAACTTGTAGTTTTAGTCAACTGCAATCACTGATTAATGACTCTTTATCAACAGTCATGGAATAGCGATAGATCAGGTACTAATCTTTGCTCGACGATTGAATAGTAATTACGCTTATTTCGCGGTAAACACGCCAACATCAAACGAACCCCTTTTGAAACGCGCGTCCGCCTCTTTATTTCCAGCCGCGCTCTCGTCTCGTGTATTTACCTCCGCTGCGTTAACGAGTTTCGCGTACTTTGCCCAGCCTCCGGGCGCTTTTCATATCCCGGTTCGCGGTCCGTGCGTACGGCATCAAAAAACAGCGGCGGGACGCCGCGTTTCGTTTCCTTTCTTCCGGAGCATTCGAGCGGAGGCTGGCCGTCCATCCAGGTCGTGCCGAGAACGAGGACGTGGCCATGCCGAGGACGAGGGGTGTCGTCTTCCAGGCTGTTGCCTTGCCACGATACGGTCTTTTCGAGGCGTGCACCCACGGCACAACCTCCTCCCCGGTGCTGCACCAGATCCACCTCCTCCCTCGCTCTCGTTTCTCCGCACACCGTTTATCTACCCCTCCCTCCCCGCCGCCACCCCGTTCATTTTATCTGTCCCGCTTCTGCTCGCGGATGAGCGGCGACGACAGACGTCGTCCTCGTCGGTGGAACGAGGCGAAACCCTTTCGAGCGACGGCGCCCGCCTGGCTGCCTGCCTTTCAGGCGCCGGCGAACCTGCTCCAATACAAATGCACCGCAGTCGCGCGTACGTACACACACAACGTAAAGTGCTCGATGAACGAACGAGAAAGAGAAGGGGGATACAAGCGGGAATAGCGAAAGCGAGAGGAAAGGGAATGCGGACGAAGAGGATCGGGTTCATCATTCATTTTCTAGCTCGGCACGACCTTTCCCTCTCTCGCACACTGTGCTCTTGTCTCGAACCATAATCCCTCCCGTCCTATCAATGATCGGCCGAATTAGAGTCGGTACGATAGCAGGCTCTGGCTGCAGAGCACGCACCTGTTGGTAGCTTAACCCGCCGTTATTCACGGTTTTTTTTAATGCAATTATTCTTGCGGAATGTACTTTATAATAGTACTTTACACCCCAACATTATTTTTACATGAAATCTTAACGCTTTAAAATTAAATATTTAAAAAAAGAACGTTATTATTTCTTCAATTATGAAGCAATTTGCGTTAATTCTTGATTATGCAATTGCCGCTCGTGACACGAGAGTGATAAAATCTTGCTGGCAGCACCCCGAGGCCGAAAGTGAGACAAGAATGAAAGCGAATAAGATAAATTACCATTCAAAGAAATTACCGTCAATTACCAAGGCAAAACGCGATTTTATAATCAGAGATTAGCACAAATTGTATACTTATGAAAGCAATTTCTACTCAAATTTACTCACCAATTCATGTCTTGCCGTTGCAATTTCGTTGTTAATCAGCGTCATCGCTTCACACACACACACGCACACATTTACGTAGCACTAATTATCACTGTACGATACGACCGATCAATTCACATGCGGCACTCCCGAGTTTAACGTGACATACTTTCAACGCAAAACACAGCGATTGCGAAACAATCTCCACAATAATAAAGCAATACCACGAATCAAATTACCGAACGCGAAAATCATCCGAAGAGTTAATTATCATTACATGCCTTGATTTGGTTATCGCAAGCAATGCACTTTCGAACAAATAAATAACGCGAAACACGATGATTGCTTGTAACTTGGTACGACATTCCGACGGGATTCATACGAATGATACGAATACAGGACAACTTTGCATCGATACTCAAATATATAGCAAATAACACGATGTCATTGACTTTACGAAAATTTTAGAAATTAGGGTTAGGTTTCAATCATACGTACTGATTACACCTACATGACGGCCATCTATAAGCTCGACGAGACAATTCCGAAAAGCGGAAAAAGTTCAGAGAAGAGAGACAACTTCGCACCGATGCTTGACGATTTGCAATATTCGACGCGATGCAACGAATTTGTTTCACGAATCCCGTGAACAGCTACTAATCACAACCGTATACGTTAATTAACATTCCACGACGAAGACTCATCGCTAGATTCAATACTTCTGATATTTGTTTGCGTATGAAATTCACTTCGGACGAGAAAAAACGCGAACGAATGCAGAACGACGCTCGTTCGCATCCGACAATTCCGCCATTGTCATTAGAACTAAACACGATAGATGTCCTACTATACTCACGATAAAATGTTTAAGAAATTTGAAAGATGAGACAACTTCGTACCGAAGCTTGATGATTTGCAATATTCGACAAGATGGAATAGGCGTATTAAGGATGTCGAAAGACTAATAATCACAACCGTACGCGTTAATTAACACTCCACGACGAAGGCTCATCGCTAGATTCAATACTTCTGATATTTGTTTGCGTATGAAATTCACTTCGGACGAGAAAAAACGCGAACGAATGCAGAACGACGCTCGTTCGCATCCGATAATTCCGCCATTGTCATTAGAACTAAACACGATAGATGTCCTACTATACTCACGATGAACGAAATTTTAGAAATTTGAAAGACGGGATAACTTCGCATCGAACTAATATCCAACGCGATCAACTTTATAAGGTTGGAGATTACGTTAGATTGCAGTACGTATTGGTTTACTTTCATGATGTTTGCTCGTCACTTGATTCGACATTTCCAATATTCCCGACACTAGTGAAATGCGGATTCGACATTTATTGCGTGTAAAATCCACTTCGAACGAAAAGAACTGCACAAAATGTAAGACGCTGCTCACTTGCGTCCGATACCTCCGCCGTCGTTAGATAAGCATCGTGATAGACGAAACATTTAAAAAACATTTAAAAATTTCGAAAAATAAGACAACTACGTGTCGATGTTTGAAGATTCAGCAAATATAATATCCAACGTGACGCAATTAGCTTTATTATTTAAGTGATGTATATGTATGAAATTACACATAAAATTATATTTGTAATCATACAAACCGATTTACTTTTAGTGACGGTCACTTGTCGATTCAGCACTTCCGATATTCTAAACACAAGTGACAATAATATACGGATTCGACATTTATTGCGTATAAAACTCGCTCCAAACGATTTTATGATACTCGCTTGCGTCTGATATCTATGCATAAACTATCTTAAGATGGTATAACCCTTTTGTCTATTATCATATACTATTTGATTACTATATACATATTTAGAATGCATCTTGTGCCTTTATAGCCAATCAAATAACGCGATACGATCAACATGAGATGTGTACTTCAGAGCAGATCGGAACGTTTCTCTATGTTGCATCATCCGTGCACGAAAATTAAAATGGAACGTTACGAGAGTGAAAAGTATCGATAATACGTATCATATAATCAATTCTTTCCTTTGTTTTCACGACACAATCTTTGCAATAACATATAGCTGTTGTATATGTGTCGAACTTTTCGCCGAAGGACTTCGTAGCGTGCTTTTCTTAGAAATATTTGTCGCGCGCGTTCACGGTGACCGACACGGGCGCGTTGTTTTGTTTACTTCGCAACGTTATTTTACTGGCGACGCTCTATTCCTACTCTTAATGTTTTTTTTCAGTAAAAACAAAATAAAGTGTTTCTCGGAATTTTTACTCGTCGTTCTGCGAGACTCCGTGTTAGTAGTTAGTATCTTACGATCGTTCTTACATGAAGTACATAAACTACCTATAAATTTCTATGTATGTAAATACCAATATTATTGAATCTAGCAACGGATTATCATTGAAATGTACGCATTATCACTTTTCGGTCACCATTTTCTAACATCAATCGCGTCCATCCTAGTAATATCAGGTATTTATTGAATCTTTAAGCATTTGTATAAAGTTGTTCCATCTTTTAAATCTTTTAAACATATTATATACCGCAACATTTATAATGTCAATCTGTTCACAGGCGGACGAGGATATTTGATACCACAAGAATCGTTTTACGTTCCGTTTTTCTCGTACAAAGTGAATTTGCACGCAGCAAATACCGAGTGTCGCATTCAATGATGAGCAGTATCGACGAGCAGATTGTAATGACGAAACGGCAGCTGGTGAGTAAATTTCAGTATTATATTATATTTATTATTTATTTATTTATAGTATTTCAACAATGATGGTGATGCTCAATTAAGTTTACCAATATTTCAAGCATAATAATTAAGAAAGTTACTCCCATTTTATACTTCATACAACTTTCTATTGATTTTCTAATAATTATGCTTGCAGATATGTGTATTTTCTCTATATATATATTAAATGAACCGACGATTAATTTGAAAATAGGCAAGAGCGTTTAATTGATTAAAAATTTTGACTCATCAATTAATTGAATTCCAAAGAGTGGTATTGTACATGTCGCGCGACTAATTACGGGTTAATAAGCGTAAGCGGTGCAAACGAGATTGATCAATGCGAAATTACATCAGCGAATACAAGAGTTGTTTGCATTCATTCTAGAACGATTAATCGTCGTTAATACAAATTGCTTGCTCATTAGAGAGAATAGCAGAGTTGTCTTTTCATGTCTCGAGAAAAATAGGTAGATAAAGTTACAACGAGACGTACGCGTCAAATGAGGCGCTTTCGTAATGCGAAGATGTAAACGTATCTCCTCGCATTCCGACAGAATCCGAATTTTTCGTAGGATAAAACTCCAGGCAACTGTCCTCCTTCGTCCCTATGAAAGGTATTATTTTATCCACTTTCTTTCCAGTTGCCTCCCTGAAGATTGATACTGAAAATGATTCATTGCCACTATTCATTTCATTCTCCGCGTTCGTCCGTATTCTTACTTTTTTTTCTCCATCTGAACTTTTTCTTTTTTACACGACAAACTTTATTATACATATATTAGTAATGATACATATACACTATATATAATTTTGTACAAAATGTAGATATATAAACACTTCCTATCGAAAGCAAGTTTAATTATTTAAAGTTTAATGTATATACGACATAATTTTGATAGTTATATATAATCTCATATAAAATTAATAATATAGCACTTCTCTAATATTGAAAATATATTTAACGTTTAATAATATCTTACATAATTTATTTGACATACAGTTCAAACTGAAAAACATATATTTTCTTTGAAAATTTGAGGTATTTAAGAATATCTTATAAAGGAAGAAAAATATATATCTATATTTGAATAAAAAATAGGACTCATAAAAAAAAACAGGATATGATTCTACGAATCAGATTGCTGAAATTTATCATTTTATCCTATAGATTTTCTTATCATCTGAGTTTCTAATTCAGGAATTGACAGTTTTATTTCCACGAAAATATCTTTGAATATCTGCTGAGGTCTAGAAATCTATTTCATAGATAGTCTTCTACTTTATTTTAGGAAAATTTTATCTTTTTATTTCTTTTCTCTATAAATTATAAATATGCAGAAATTAAAATCAGAAAAAGCTTTTGCACCGTGTTTTAACCCGTCAACTGCACTGATCGATATGATTGGTACTCGATGAAATGAAATATTTCCGTTTATTTATTGAGAAGAGTCTGCCGTCAGCTCTTAGGAGAAACATCGTGAAATAAATATTTAATTTAGCAGTGCGCGATCGTTCTCGAAAAGGAACAGCGCATCACTTGTGCCTCATAAATTTATTTCTCGCATCTCCCACACGCCTCTCCTCCTACGAGCTTTTGGTATCGTTTTTTTTTATGCACCGTGGAAGATTTAAGTGTTTAATAACTCGGCTCGTAGATGGAAGATACAAACGCATTTTATCATTTAGCCCAGAGTCTCGGTCATCCCTACATTTTTCTCTGTCTCCAGTATTTAACCTTTCGACTTATTTTCGCTCTCCTATTTCCTGTTTCTCTATTGTTCACGATTCTGACATGTGTGAGGATTGACGATCCAACGTTTATTAATCCCCGTCGGGCAACAGAAGATTAAGCGAGACAATTAGAAAGCAACGGAAACGTGATAACTCGCTGTCGAATAGAACGTATGTAAATTTGCATCACACACAACAGTTACATTCGAATAAAAAAATTTGCATCTACTCTGTTTTTTGAAATTGCTAAAATAACGAACCTTATACTGCGGATATCCTAAAGCTTCACGAATCATTAACAAAGTCATTAACACTTTGATTTATTATTAGAATAACGATGGCTTATCGCGAGAAACATTTACCATTATGAAAAGTGCTCAGAGCACTTCAGTAAAACAAGATCCACTTTTGGTGCTTACTAAGCCGTCAGAAAACCACTAGTATGACGGGTTCTCTAGCACAGCTTTAAGACGATAAAACCTTAGCGCCGTGTTTTAGCAGAAGCCGCGCGGGAATTACTATCTATCATCTTAGCAGACGCGTCTCATTTTGCTTCCAATGATTAGTCGCGCAAGAAACGGAAAGTATTAGCTTTTTCACTAATGAATTACAAACAATGCCGAATATATGTCATAAATTTTACAATATTCCTGGACAGTCGCGGATAATATTTAATTAATTTTGTATGAGCTTTTCACCTAAAAGCATAGTGGAGGATTCATCGAGCCTCAAATTACTTGCATGATGAAACTCATGATAATCCAGTTTTTCCAGGAATTTAATAAAATGACTTGCTCAATTTCTTTGACTGACAATTAGATACATCAATCGTCCCCTAACAAGCATAGATTCTTTTATTGCCAGGCGATCGATCAATACGTAGACGTTACGAAGGACAGTACGAACGTCATCACTTGACTTCGCGCGACGGAAAAAGCGAGAGCACCCCCTATCCATGATTGTGGCCCACTTCGATGTAAACAGCCTGCTGACAAATGATAAACAAGCTAGGCGTCGACCGTCTGTATCTCTTGCTCTCTCTTTGACTCTCGGGTCATCATCACGAGAGACGGCCACGTTCTCTCGCATCACGAAAGACGCAAGGGTCGAACCTACGTAAACCACGCGAGGGTCGGTGGGTTTATTTGAAAAAGGACGACCCTCTTGAGAGAAAGAGGCCGTAGAGGTAAAGGCCGTAGTCGGTGATAGGGTTTGTATACTTCTTGAAATAAAAGGGGAGTGACACTCGAGGCTGGATCGGAATAATATTACTTCGGACTTGTAGCATCACATGTAATATATAAGACAGAATAATCGAAACGCTCTTTTGCATCAACCAATTTGGTACAATGGAATTAATAATTTTTAACAATGTTATGTTTCCAATAAGCAAGATGTTAGAAATGTTGACAAATTTTCCGTCAAATTGCCAACATTGCTAACATTTGACTGTTTAAATATTTGTCTAGTAAAAAGTCTTAGCATAGAATTCAACATAACTATTTAATGCGCTTGAAAGATATACAATAATATAAATACTTCAGCTGATTGTGAACATCGCCGAGATCGTTAGATGGTCCAAATAACTAGCCCCTTCTCGAAGGAAACTTCTCCTTTCTACTGTGTGACGCAGCGACCTCGATTTTCCGACCATTTCCATCGAGCGTGTCTCTGTGTAAACTTGAATCAACCGCGTCATTCACGCGCCATAAGCCCTCTTTCGAGTAATTGTATACAGGAAATACGTCATTACGGATCTATCGTTAACACCGTGACGATATTTGCGCGAGTTTGCAGCGCAGGTACAGATATGCTATCAATCTTCGCGGAATCCTTTGTCATAGGAAAAGCTCTACGATAACGTCGCGTGTATCATAAACCTTAAGGTGGTGAAGGAACTCGTTAAACGAGGGCGTTTAAAGCACGTGACATAATAGTAATGAAAGAGGCGTGTATTCGCATACGTTGGGATCCGGAGATTAATTGAGCAGGAGTATTCGCGCAACAATGCTATTAAAAGCTAAATTAATCGTGCTAAATTGGATCATTCGCTATAAGACATGAAATATAGTGCTAAATATTCATTTCTTTATTTTTTCCTTTTTTTAATTGATATAAATAAAATCAGTTATTTACTGAAAATAGTGCTCTAACCATTGCTTCTAATTTTGACAGACTTATATACAGCCACAAAAAAGTTTAATATCTTTATGAATTATTAATGTTCTATAAATTCCTAGCAGATAATGTTCAATCTCTGCAGAGTAATCTCTGATCTTGTGAAAGACATATTTTTTATACTATTAATGTTACAGATCAAAAAGATTGACAAGAGTTAACATTACATTATATAATATATATCGTTTAATTCTGCTCTTTTCTCTTCTAAAATCTTTTTTCTAAATTTATTTCGTTTATTAAAGTTAACATATTTTATTGTAATTATATTTAGTTTCCAATCGAGTTAATTAATCTTTTCCTGTATTGCACCACTAAGCTGATTAAGATAGTATTCATTTTTGATGACTAAAGTCTAATATATTGCATCAATAGTCACATAGTTATGCGTCGCGACTGGATAAGCTGCCGTTACCATAAATCGCCGATTTTTGCATATGTGGGTAGAACACAGAGCGAAACAAATTCCGAAAACAAGATTGCTATGTATATGTATATCCTATAAACAAAAATCCCTTGCCGCCGAGAGATTTATATTCGTTTGGGAAAGTGTTACGCCCGTGTTTACGAGCGTACGATGCAGTGACGTCCGTAAGAGGGAAAATAAATGGTCGATCGAGAAAGAGTCGGTGTATATGGAAGGTAGCACACTAATATAAGGGTTTTACGTGTAAAAAATCTAAACTAACGTGCGATTTAACCTTTAATTTGAGTAAATAACATATTTTGCGTGCGCTTTGATTTTAAATTTGATAATAAGTAGGAAAATAACAGAAAGCAAGAGGTTATTGCTTTAGTATTATATGATATTGTTGCAAATACATAAAGCTTTGAACTTGAACGGCTTTGATCTCATTAAATTTAATTAATTTCATTAACTAAATTAATTCTATCAGTTTAATTTATCTTTGATAAGAAATATATATTGGTGCAGTATTCTATAAGTAAAACAAACACATTTTAACTATTATTTTGAATTTGATTTTTAAAATTACATCTTTATCGTATTTTCGTTTCAATGTATGCATGAATATGTTCAATGCGAGCACATATCAAAATTGGATTTGCTCATAGTCAAACCAATTGGAAACATTTCCATCAAAGATAACATTAGGAAAATATAAAGTCAATTATGGTTGTAGGAATCACCGATCGTACAGATTGTAGTAAGGAAAAGCAAGAATAGATTGGGAAAAGATTCGACTGCGGAAAGTCGCGCGCGAATCGGCTAGCGAGTTTCCTCTCGTCACCGTTCGCGGCTATACCTGCATGCCGACGAGATCTCGTGGTCGACGGAGAGAGCCGAGTATTGTCGAAGGCCGTGCCGAGCGCGCGTATATGGCGCTCCCCGCCACAGTTCGAGATCGGCCAGCGCGACGTCGTGACGTGTTCTCATGGTCGGTCTGTTAAGTAAGGATCATTCGAATGCATTGTGTCGCTCAGTAATTTAGAACGATCGATCTCTATCGATTGTAATTCGAAAATCGAAGTTCCGTGTGGTGTCAGTGAAACGAAAAAAAAAAAAACCTAGCGAGAGACGGAGAACAAACGGTGTAGTGAAGAACGAGACTCTTTTTCGAGGAGAGTGAAAATAGGCAGCGATCACGATGGCAGCCTATCGTGAGCGTCCCACCTGCGTCGCGATAGCCGTTCTGCTGCTACAGCTAGCAGGTAAGTGCGAAAGTATTCGTCACGCGATAACGTGCCAGTACGGGAATCCTGTCGGAGGAATCTTGCGCGCGGTTTCCCACGGGACCGCTCGCGTGGTACCGTTCGCCGCACCTCGGCGTAGGAAGTAAGAGAGAGACAGATGCATTAGCGGGCACGCGAGTACACTCAGCAGGTGGTTAACCGCCATGCCGCACCGCTCTGGAATTCGATGTGAAGTTCAATGCAAACTTACGCGGTTAATGCTTCTCGAATTTGAATATCAAGCGGTGCACGTATCGTATCCGCCGGCATCGAGGTACTTCACGTCGCGGTGCGTCTTTCACGTTCGTTTGAATTAAACACGGCCGCCAACCGTCGTTCGTCCGTCCTGGCTTCCCTGATCTGGCCGGTTCGGTTTCACGCGTATCCTCGCTTTTGTTCCAATGAAACGATACGCGTCCTACGTTGCGTGCGTGATTTCTCAACGGATGCGGCTTCCTGCATTCGTGAACGTGTTCCACTTGATTCTCCTCGTGTAGTTGTGCCTGTATGCGATGTGTGAGCTGCAAAAGTATGCGAATTCATCAGTTATGAATCAGCGTTGAGAGCGAATTAGCGTTGAGAAATTCGCAATAAATGTGAATCAGAAGATAGATATATCTTAGATATCTTAGATTACAGGAGATTTGCGATTTACCTTTGAATAGATTGGAATGGATAATTTATTTGAAAATTTGTTATGCAAAATTGAGTTTATTATCGCAATGAATCAATTAAAAATTTTATTATAAAATTATTTTTCTCATAAAATGCAAGTTTTTGAAGTTGTTTAATCGAGCTTAAACGGATGCAAATTTTAAGCAGTAGATATTTTATTTTTAGCACTGCTTCTACGTTTCTCAATAACAAAATTTTTGATACATTAATTAAACATTATTGAAATTAGTTTATTTTAATTAATGATAAAGAATTTTAAATAATACTGCATAAGATTTAAAAAATTATGTTATTTTGAACAACTCTTGTAACATTTTGAAAATTATTAATATTAATCAACTTGTTTTTTGCTAACGATTATAATAATTTTTTAATTATATTCAAAATATTTCTTCATATAGTTTTACATTATTTTCGCATTTTTACATCAGGAAACGCAGTGAATCGTGAAAACAGTTTTCGTACTCTTGATTTTTCCTTGAAAACGAACCGAAGAAAGACTCTTCGTCGACGCACCTGAGTAAACGGTCCGCATACCTGTTAGGCGCTTGGGGATACCTGAGGTACCTCTTCTCCAAAGAGTCCTTCGTCAACAATACCTCGCGATCTTCGCATAAGTCGCAGAAAAAGGAATTCTATTATGCTCTTAGATTTTCTGAAAATTGTTCGCTCGATCACGGCTGATCTTTTGCTTGGTATGGACCTCGCGTAAATTATAGCGAAAGGTTGAGCCTGCCCTGCCGTCCCCTCCATACTGTCTCTTCCTGTTCTCGAGTATTCTCTCTTTCGTTTCGATCGTTCGCTTATGATCCGGCTCTCCACGAGGCCGTCATCAAGCTGTCTCTCTTTCCGTCTTCTCTTGTTCTTTCTTACCTCGGTCCGGTTTCGTCGAATCGCTGCGAAACACCATCAGCGTCTATTTTTGTCCTTTTTCTTTTTTTCATGTTGTCTCTCCGCCTTACAAATGCCGTCGTTCCGTTTGCTGATCATAATCTATGAACAAGTGTGTAAGAAAAAGCTGATAGAAAAGTACCGTTCGCTGCAACATTTCACTTTCAAGTCTCGCATCTCACCTGAACGATACTTGTTTCTTCCCAGACATGTTTCCCTTTCTATGGTGGAAACTTGGAAACTAGAAGCTTGTACTTAATCACGTAGCATTTCCAAGATTTACGCAACGATAGCAGTGTGAAGATTAGTTTGACGTGTTGGCATTTACTTTCTACGGATTCTCGTTAATGAATGTGAAAATAATTATCTGTCAACTTTTTAAAAATTCTAAAAGATCCTCGATAATAAAAATTTCGCAATTCGCTCTTTAGAAAAATTTTACACCAAAATATTTCATTCTTAACAAAGTTGAATGTTGTATATTCGATTTTAGGATCGTGCGTTACTTTTTTTTTTTAAATTTAAAACGTGACAATCTCATCAGGTTTCGATTGCGTTACAATGGGATCACGGAAAGGAATGTGACGCAGACAATAGACCAGGTATCTCCACGGGAATTGAGAACGATGACATGCCGGGCGATCACCTTTCGCGTTCTTTAACAAAGAAGAGCTCGAGACTTGGTACTGAAAAAGTCGAGAGACATCTCGACGGATAAAGGACTTAGCGCGTCCTTCTCCGTTTCCATCGTAAATTACAACGTGCCTCCGCTCTCGATCGTCTTCTTTAGACAACGATGGATCATTTTTCGCCTTTTTTTCATGTCGTCTCATTGTCGCGAGTCGCTCGACGCGCGTATAAATTATGGCGGTTGATGCTACGTCTATGTAATTGTATGGATCTTCGTCACGTCAGTCGGGCATGCTCGTCGTAAACCTCTTGGGAAATATTTTCAGGTTACATCGCCGAGACTATGCTCGGTGCGATGGATGCGGGTGTCTGCGGAAACTCTGGTCATCCGTCACTGTTGGACTTCTTCCGTTCTCAGCAAAATAGTACTATAACCGGAAAAGTTAGTTCATTACATTCCTGAGGATTATAAGTGAGAGCGTCAAGACAAATGCAAATAATCATGAGGTTTGTTGGGAAGTGAATTACGTTCAAGTTTGTTGTGGCGTCAAGTAGGAGTGCCAAGTATCTTTATGAACAAAAAAAAAAGTCGCAGCAGTGACAAATGGCCAAACAATCTGTCATTAACGTCACACGACAGAACGAGACGGAGCTATTATGTCTTACCCTTTTTGTTACAATATTCGTCTTTGGCGAATGTGTGTCGCAACAACTATTTATTATGCAGAATATTCCGCCTTCACGAATATATAGTCAACTTTTCTATAATCGCAGTTTGGTCGCAAGTTGGGCGTTTTCAGTTTTTGGTGCTTGGCAACTAGGCTGCTGAAATGAGGTCGTTCGTGTTTTCTTCTCACACTGTTAGTAATTTCTTGTTTGTGCGAAATAAACGATAAACTGGAACGGGGTTGTGCCGGAAGTGACTTTGCGGCAGGTTATCTTACAGATCATAGATTTTTCCGTCGCGGACCGGTCGACGGAAAACGAGAAGAAAAGCGATAGGAAAACAGTGTTGCGCCGGTGGTTCAGGTAGTTTATCGCGCGGTTATTCGTGAGAGAGAGAAGGAGATATCGCGTTGATTATGGTTATTGCACTGTTCGCGCGCAGTTGGAAAAAAATGTGTGCCGCGGAAACCGGAGGCGAGGGGAATGAACCGGCGCCGCTTAATGAGCCGCGGTGGTTTTTTCAACGGATACCGTAAAAGCGAGTCACCCCGTGTTGTGTTATGGAACGACGGTAAGGGAAAGAGGGATCCTTAACGCGCGTTTTCAGCGTCGTCAATAATTAGCGTGCCTCTCGGAGGGAAACTTTGTGCAGGGAACTACGCGGAAACGGTCCGCCGTCGGCCTTAAAATGCGGGATCTTTTGGCGGCGAAAGCGCCGGACGTGCAACGAACGTCTGCTTTCATTTATTGCTTCCGCAGCCCGCAACGCGTATTTTAATTACGATTCTTGCACGCGGTAATTTGTTTTGCCTCACGGCGGATCTTTTTAATGACGACAGTATGGCTTTGCTACCCCTGTTTTCATTATTGCTATTCGGAATTTGGGCTGCGGTTAATTGTTATTTGTATTTCATTTCGAACAGCCTGTATAGGTGAATGAAAATTTGTATATTGTACTTTTTGGGCAAAATATTAAAATGTGTCCTATGTTTTGCCCTTTTATTTACGATTCGGGAGAGAAATGTGATAGGCTTTTGTTGATACAAAAAATTGGAGTTGCATACGATATTTCATAAATTTCCGGACGAAGCATCCATTAATACACACCATTTGATACCAATTCGATTGCAACGAGTGCTGCTTATCATCTCGATTTCATTTATCTCACGTGATCATCGCGCTGCAAGCATTCAGATATTCTACCGCCGAGTCGTTCGCGATGAGATTGCGCAAATGGATGTTGCATCGTGATTCGTCAGCAGGAAGTTTTGCTCCATTACGAAGCAGCTTGTTTGACTAACAATACCCAGAGGTCTTTTTTTCCCTCAGTCATGTTTTCGTGGTGATAATAAGAAGTATTGTTCTTAGGCGGGTGAGTTGTAAATTTATACTTCCTGTTCCGCATCCTCTCGAGGATTTGCACGGCACTAAAATACGTCCTTGTCGCTTTCTCGCTGTTTTTATCTCTCCATTCTTGTTTTCATAATTGCTCAACCAATTCCACGTTGTTATGTTAGGAAAGAGGATGTATTTTCATAATGATATGTTAGTGCTTTTCAGTAATAATCGTACCCTGAACTTTCACGGTTGAATCGGAAAAGAATCGTCGAAATCGCCGCCGGGGAAGATTCGTCGTTCGCGGCGTTAATAAATTGTTCTCGAACTCTCATGAATTATCCTGCGGCAGAATTATCGAGAGCAGCAACGATTATCCTTGGCGCGATCGTAATAAGTGACGCAAGATCTAATGAGGTAGTAAAACTCGTACAGTGTGGGCGTTTTTCATGATAATAGAAGACTGTGTGCACAGCGCCGCAGTTTGCTGTTGCAATTGCGCTCGTACGCGTTTAATGCATTACGAAAACATTTCTCGCCGACGCCGCTTTTCCTATCATTTTTTTTTTAATCTGTAAAAGTCTACTTGAACGGAACAGGTTTTCACATTGTATTATTCTAAAATTATGCTGCACGTGAACTTTATGCTTTATGCGTACTTATATTTTTTATTTTATTAATGCAGTTTTCTATTAAATTAATTAACGTTGAAACACAAAAGTTTGCACAATGCTTGTGAGAAAGGGTATAAAAATGTCATGTCAGTTTTAGATGCAAAAATG